TTTCTTTTCTTTTCTTTTATTCTGTTTTATACCCTTTTCACTTCTTTTTTCTCTTCTCTTCTCTTATGTTCTTTCCTCTTCTCTTCAGACGTGACGAAATGGCGATGGAAGCGGGCGACTTAATAACAGTAAAGATCCGTTCATATTCGACGAAACATTATGACGACGATGGCTTCCTAACTGGTACGAATCTGAATAGGTCGAAGGGAGGCCTGTTTCCTCTCTATAAAACGACACCACTTCTGCGCGTCGAAGAATTTCCATCCTATGACCATATAGATAGGATGAAATAGTGTGATTAATCTCAAGATATTCGATTGGTGTTTCTGGAACTGTCTTGTGTACAAATAAAGTGCAGGTATTTGATCGGGATATTTTTTCTGTCCTGGATTGTATTATATGGTGTGTTTTGTTGATGTTGTGCATGCTTTCCTATTTCTTTTCAATGTTTATTTTATGACTTCATTTCATTGTATTTGTTCATTTGTTTTTTGTTTTTTTATATTTTCCATTCTCACTCCCTCATTTTGCCTGGTGGTCATGTCAGTGTATTTGGACACTGTGCTAGTCTTATTTTTGAGGGTTTGATGAGCAAGCAAGAAAAAGAGAGAGACGTATCTTAGTTGACGTGGATTAAAGAGTAATTTTACTAGAGTTGGACATCTATAACTTGTAATAGAGACCATGTCAGTAACTTAAGTAAGTTTTGCATATTTTTGAGCAATTATTAATCATTGTAGCCCATCGAGAAGATAACCGTAATTTCAAGAGGTACATATTAAAGTACATTATGCAATTCATGGCCTGTTTTTTTATTATTCCCTTTACAAATGTTCACGGTAATGTCCTCCGATCTCATAATTTTAGTGCATTAACTGGAACATAAAGATCAGTGGTTTCAAACCTTCTTCATTCTGCGGCCCCCAATATATAATAATCTCCATAGCTCCTTTCAGTGATTGCCATCTTTTTAGATCCAGTTATTACTAGTTATGAATGGTGTAATGGTGTCAGTAGCTACAGGACAACATCGTAAGGAAAGACCAATTTATTGATATGTGAGAGAGTTTTATGTAGATGCTTTGAGATAAAATTCAGTTGTCAAAATGTTCATATTAGTCCATAGACCCCAGAAAGTACCCTAACCTAACCTCTGAGATTCCCTGCCATAGATGCTTGTGTAATAAATGAAGGATTAAACAAAATAAATATTTAAACGCATTTTCGGGCAATTTGTGTGATAACACTTTTGGACACGCATGCCCTCATATGTTCTGGTTCTGAAGTAAACCATAATTCTATTTCTGTAAATACAAATATTGGTCTGACTGAATACCTTCATGATAGTTTATGTAATTCTTCCGTAGAGAGTAAAATGCATCAGAAACAAGTTCAGTAGGTTTATTATTTATGTATGTCTTCACTCTTGCGAATGGTTTTGTGTTTTGCACATACATATCACACACACACACTCACACACACACACACACACACACACACACACACACACACACACACACACACACACACACACACACACACACACACACACACACACACACACACACATACATATACACAGTCACACGTGTGTGTGTGGATTTCAATCTAGATGTTTCAAGCGTTTATTTTCTCAATTACCACACATCAAGCAAAAACTCGCGTAATTACTTTAATATCCTAAAGCATATCTTATCATTAACCATAAACTGACGGATTTCGCATACAGTAGACAGTAGTCTCCCTGTGATTACTTTCTGACAAAAAATAACATACACTCAACTAATACCATATTAAGCAAATGGATGCCTTACTTGAAATCAGGATATTACAACTTAATCATACAGAATATATAAGTTCGATTAGGTGCACAATACACAGCGTTTCTGGTTTGCTGGAGTATACTTTATTGTAGATTGAACATCCATACCGGCCGCACAGTCCTCTAGGAAGCATGAATATAATTGTTAATACTACGATCAAGTTTGGCACATGTTGAATCTGACACTGGAAATATAACCGTAATAATTAATCAAGCTGTGAGCCTTTACGTTTATAAAAGTACGTGGGAAAAAAAATATATCCTGCCTATCCTTTGTGAAAACCAAGGTCACTTCTATGAGCTATACCTTACAATGATTATAGAAAAATATATACTTTAGAAACGTGACTTAAGAGCTCCTGGGTATGTTTTCCATACGTATTATCCTTATCCACAAATAAAACATAGCATATATTCTCTTTGGTAAACCTGTTATAGATTTCAGCTAAATCATTGTTTTTTTCTGTTTAAGGGTTTAACAGTTTCTAGATATACCTAAAAAAATGTTCATATATAACCAATGATTCAGTCCATAGCAATTATGGAGCGTTATGAATTGAATTACTGTTAATTAATAATTATGATACACACTTGAAAGCACTTATCTGCAACCCTTAAAGAGAACGTTTAATAAGAGATATTTTAATGCATTTGAGAGAAGTGTTATGAATAACAGAAATATAAAAGCACTATTTTGAAATAGCAGGGATATAATGTATGATGACCACACAATGTAACCTGGACACATCTAAGCCAATCCCCGATAGTCTTTCAGATTCATTTCGGAAGATTCGAGTTGAAATTTGACGAAAAGAAATTAGCTAAAATATTTAAATTACTATTACCGTTATCAATTTGATTATGATAATTTTCTCTGCATCCTCATTGGGAGCTAACGCCGACGGGACGCATAGCCGCATACACCCCTTAATTCCACCTACAAAGATTCCTCATGGCGGGCCGCCTGGCACGGTTTCGGCCTATCTCAAGCTCCTAACTAAAGGTCTGATTGATCTGCCCAAGCCACGACTTACTAGGTCGTCCCACAGGCCTCCCCCGTGGTTGTCACGTACAGAGACAACCTGGCGGGCAGGATGAACTTGTGGGAAGCGATCACGGATTCTGCAAGTAACAGGTCCTGTGCCAGTCTCATGGTGCAACCGTTGGTTGGACACATGTTCCCGCCAGCAGTACCCCATGATCTGGCGCAAGGATCAAGACGAGACTCCAAGGCACAGGATAATGTCCAGGTTTCACTGCTGTATAGAAAAACTGGCATTATCAGGGCCTTGAAAACCTTTAGCTTGGTCCTTCTGCACAGGTAACGGCATCTCCAAATGCTCTTGTCGAGAGGTCATGACCCATACTGCCAGGCCAATCCCTTTGCTGACTTCCTTTTCTGACAGCTCAGTGTTATGAACTACACTACCAACGTATGTAAAGCTCTCTGTGACTACAATGTCCTCGCCGCAAGCACTTACCAACCGAACAAGCTCTCCTAGTAAGTCCCCAAAATCCTGGATCTTGGTCATGATCCAAGAGACGTCTAGACCCAGGGGCTTCGCTTCATTGCTAAATGCATCCAGAGCCACCACTAGGGTTTCCAAAAGGTCAGATTGAATAGCAACATAATCAGCAAATTCAAGGTCTCTAACCTTGATATTGCCCAGAGTTGCTCCACAATGACTTTGAATAGTAGCTCTGCCTATTATCCAGTCCTTGCGTGTTGAAAAGTGTTGGTGTAAGGCCACAGCCTTGCCTCACTCCTGGCTGCCATCTGACAGTCTGGTACCGTTCCCCCTGACCTGTTGAGGGGTGTGACCTGTCATCATCCCTCTCTGGAAGGGGAAAGGCGGTCGATGGGATTGCAGCAAATACCGAGGCATCACACTGCTCAGTATACCAGGCAAGGTTCTTGCCCACATCCTTCTGAGACGTATCAGAGACCACTTGCTGAGGCACCAAAGGCCGGAGCAATCTGGGGTCGCTCCTGGTAAGTCCACAATTTTCTATTACCATTGCAAAAATATTTCACGACCTTAACTCTTATTTATGGGAACGGACTTCTCAGTCGGACTACCGTATTGTATGATCATAGGTTATACGTTTTGGTTCCTTACGTGAGCAGAACTCTTTATGTTCTTCATACTTAACAATGAAAACGAATGTTTGTTTGCTGGTGTTGTATGACATTTATACAAAATTCTTATTACTATTTTTCTATATATATGATGTTTTAGACAAAAAGTCTGTAAGATTTATTCACAAAATTGTAAATGTACATGGTGATTTTATGTCTTCAAGAAAGAGAAACGTGATTTTTTAAAGAGTGGGGGCGAGAGCTCTCAATTTAGGGCAAATGGCATTTACGAAGCAAATTGGAGATCATCTTAAGCATTATTATATTAATTACCTAAATTATTTACATCCAGAAAGCTTCTGATTCTGCCATAAAATATTCTAACAGTAAATGTGAATTTGTTGTGTCTGAGAACTTACCATCCAAAGTCTTTATCTTGTAAAAATAAAAATTATGAAATGGGAAATAAATTGAAATGCTACTTTGCAAGGCCAGATCCAAACACTGACAAACAAGCAGCATAATAATGCTGACAATGACAAAATGGCAATGGAAGGCAGCACAAATTCTATTTCAGCTTTGAGCAGTGCCCCCTTTAATCATAAACTCTTCCTGCAGATCTAAAGCATTGGTATACTGCATGTTAAAAGCGGGTTTAATACTGACTTTCTGTGTTTATTTCATACTGACTTGTTTCTGCCATCTCCAATGAAAACTAATAAATATCAAGAGAAGTTTGTGAAGTTTCGTGTAATGGTATTTTTAGCATACTTTCTCCTCACATCATCAACCATATAAATAAAAACACCCTTGTATGAAAAGGAAAAGTGATGCATGTATTTGATTTATTGACAAATTACTTTGTATATGCAACACTTGCAGACAGAGAAACGCAGAATTACATATAAAAAAGAGTACTGCCTACTTCCTCAGGACTCGCACCCTAAGTTAAGACCCTTTGGTCCAACGTGAACTGACTTCGCCTATTCATTTACGTCCAAAATTAGTCTCTACCTACTGTATGAATAGCCATTCTCCATAGTTCTCGCGGCTTCTTCGGGCATAAGGTAAGGGTATGGTAATCAATGTATAATAATT